ACTTTAGTTTTACCTGAAGCTGCAGGCACAGATCCATCCTTAAAGACAGTGAAGTTCTGACACATTTCACTATTATTTTCACGAGTTCCTGGTCCGAGCTCTCTGCTGATCTGTATTTCACAAATGTTCTAGATTTTGGTTTGAAACAGGTAAAAATGAAAAAAATGGTCCAACAGCAAACCAATAAAGAGCTCAGTTTTCTTGCTTTTTTTTACAGATGACGCTTGAGCACCTAAACGTCGAGGGGCTGCGTTGTCATGAGGGTGAGTCTGGCTTGTGAGTTGTGCTGCAGACAGACACACAACAGACAGAACACAAACACCAACACAGTGTGATCTCAGGCCCATGCTGTGGTCTAACCTGAGGCCCTGCCCCGAGGCTCTGTGCGAGAGTTACGCCCCCGCGCTGCAGAGACAGACACACAGACACGTTACAGGACGTCCACCGCCACTCACTCAACAGCTGTGATGCAGGTTTCACACATACAGACACTTTAAACATCTTTTATCCAACGACTGAGGCCCAAACTGCTCCTCACTAGTGTGTGCTGCAGGAAAAAGGTCGTTAAACATGTGCGATTGCTTCTTGTCGGATCAAACGGCCGTCAGACTGTTGAACTGGAGCCACCGTCACATACTGACTGCACCAATAAACACGTCATCCACATATGTGCAATATTCTCATTCTTTATAAAATGCATCTACCTCACTGTTGTCACAAATATTTAGTGTTAAACATCGCTACGTTTGGCTTTTCTACCTTAATGTTTATATTTCTACTATAGTCACACTTATATTGCTTGTATTTATACTTATACAGTCGTGACTCGATAATCCGACGCTAAATGTAAAACCTTCTTTTATGTCGGATTGTCAAGACGGAGGTCCAGATACAAGGAGGGCTTGATGCTGGAAGGCTCATTAGTTGTTAATATTTATTGATCATAGTTATATAATAACCAGTGTGTTGTTAGAACACTACACATCGCTGGATTTCAGCCTAACTGACCGGTGTGGCAGCGCTCTGACGAGGTGGAAGTGTCCAGAACACACAGGTAGTACTTGGCTGCTGATGCTAGTTTAGTTAGCGCTCACACTTCTGTTTCCTCCATCGGTGGCGGCGGGGGAGTGGCAGATACGCTCCACCGTTACCATCCATGTTTACTTCCATAAACACT